CCAACCCCTGCCATCTTAGCCAGCCTTCTATTATTTCCCCCTCCCCGTATTGCTACGACTCACTCGTGCGAAAAGACGAACACTTTTTAACTTGTACCCCCTTCCCCATATAAATTTACTGGCCCGACGAGAATTTATCGAAAGCCTACGTACGTCCGCCAACCTCTTCTGAATTCTCTGAAGGTTAATTTTCTCAACTTTAATTCTTGTTACTTTTTGTTAGGGTAGGCAGATTTGCAACTGGACTGAGTTTCCGGTCTCTAGCTAAGAATAAAACGAGGTCAATCCATTTACAATTTAGTGGCCATTGAGTGAACGAAGGTACATTTTCAGACGAAATATAACGACTCTTTTCACTTCTTCTTGGTTTACGGTGAATGCAATATCTTTTCATATTCTCGGAGAATCATTAATGTAGAACTCGCCTTTTCAAGAATTATCATTAGTATTTATCTTCATTTGATCTCCTGTCAGGACGTAAGACATGTTGTATCAATTCCGCGACCGTAGACCAGTGGCATCTTATAAACGTGTGATATATTTTCATTGGGTTTGGGTAGATGACGCAGAGAATGAGCATACTCAAGAAAGAAAAATATCGGTTCTGCAATTTGCGGCCTGTTTCTCCAACTTAATTACAGTCTCCATCGTTGCACAGTATCTTGTAGACAACTGCAGAAGTTTCTGTAGGAGGCAATCTGCCTTTAGGTTGCATCATCCGGCGGCGTATTATCACCCGCGGTCGATGGGCTATGCCTATTCCAGTGGGGTGTAACAGTCGTGAGACTGCTTTGGAAAACCCCTTTATATAGGGAATGGCCCTCCAGACTTCGGGTTGCTGTTGTACCGGCCGTCATCTGTTCACTTGGCGCTTGCGTCATTTGATAAATGAGTTCGGGTATCCATTGGCTCGGAAGAGTCCGTGAAGATATTGTTGCTCAGCTCTTCTGGCGGCTGGTGTGCTGCAATGTGTTTCAACTCTTTGGAAAAGAGTGCGAACACAACTTCGTTTCTGGCACATGGAGTGATTGCTGTTGAAATTTAACACTTGATTCGTGTCGGTGTTTTTTTCTGAATACTGTAGTTTGCCGTAGTCCAGGTGAACACCGGCGCACAGGGATATCGAGGAAGGGTAGTTGGTTGTTTCTTTCCGCTTTCATCGTGAATTGGATATTTGGATCAATCGAGTTCAGTAAATCTTTGAGGTGCTCAATGTCAGATGTTTTGACAACGACGAAAGTGTCATCGATATAACGAGCCCAAAAATTCGGTTGATCGGTTGGCGTAGATCAAGTGTTTTATCCGTTGGAGGACCACTTCAGCAATCAGGCCTGATATGGGGGAGCCCATGGGAGTGCCTTTAATTTGCACATACATTTGCCCACCAAATGTGAAGTAGGTTTTAAGGTAATGTCGTAGAAGTTCGAGCAAATGTTCAGAATTCAGGGGTTTGTCGCTGTCGTCTAAGCGTTCGTTTCGAAGTTGGCCACAACATCGATCGCTAGTTGCTGTGGGATAGTAGTGAAGAGTGAAACATCGAAGGATAGCATGGATTCATTTGGCTCCAAATTCAGATGTTTTATCCGTTAAGGAACTATTTTGCAGAAGCTATGGTTGTTGTCGAGCCTACTGCCAGGAACTTTAGATGAGTAAACATCAATTTTGCCAAACCATACCTGGGGTGCCACGAAGGGAGACGATTGGCCAAAGTGGTATATTTAGTTTGTGAACTTTTGGCAGACCATAAAATCATGCTGGGGCTGTGCCCGTTGGCTTCATGGAAAACCAATCACTGGGCGTGATTGCGCCGTTTGCTTTCAATTTTGCCAGACTCTTGCTCACTTGGGCAAGGAAATGTTTCATTTCACTTGCTGGACATGTCTTGTACGAAGTTTGTTCGCCGAAAAAAATAAGGGAAAATGGAATGGCTATTTCTGGCTTAATAGCCGTTGTCAGCTAATCATACCCAGACCCAGGTGGCATACCATCCGAGTCTACACTACCAGCTACTACGGCTGTCAGGGGCTCTGTCGCGATCCCAAGCAGAGCGCGACAGACGAGTTCCATTAGCGGTGCGGTGAGCGTTCATCAATAAGTGACAATATCCTTCGACCTAACCCGTCAACACAACGAGCTCGTGGCTCAATGGTTAGGACGTTTGACTCTGATCAAAGAGGTCGCGAGTTCGAGGCTCGGGTGGGACGACAAATGGGTCTGGGTACGACTGGCTAACGACGGCTAACAAGCCAGAAGTTGCCACTCCAGCCTCCCTTATCTTTGCCGGATATAATATCTACCCCGTGGTCACACTCTGGTCTGTTGTCATACTCTCAGGCGCGGCTATACACGAACAGACAAACTAGCCTTTCCTTGAAGTAAGATTTTTTGACCGCGGATTCGCATCCAACTATTTACGCATTCGAGGGACGTCATAACGGAAAGAATTGAAATAATTATTCCCCTTGTTTTTATCTCTCTCTAGCTATCCCTTCGTATCCAAAATCCGCAGTCGAACCAATCATTGGCCCTTTTCCTGACCACTATGATAAAAATGATGGCCGAGATGCAACTTAAAGAGCTATCAATTTTTCATGAATATTTCATTAAGACCTTCCCACTTGATTTTTTTGTCCATGAACGAACCGGAGATATGTCCGTTTTGGATGTGTTATGTCAATGATAACGTTGGCCTTGGAGACAGGGATATGGCCCAGTTCTATGGGTAATTGAGATCGGAAAAGCGACCGAGGACCGGCTCCGCTGCCTGGCCAACGAATAAGACGAGCGTTCATTGAGAGAAGCGAAAAGTGTTCAAGAGATTGAACTGAAAAGGTAAAGGAGTTAAAGTGCTGCAGAGGATTGCCCACATAAAAGTAGTCTCCAAAACCGTAGCCGGAACCCTCGCATCACTCGAAACGGGGGTTACCCGCAGATCTGTTTCAACATTCCACCCCTGAGTTAAGCCTAATTTGCGGTTGGCAACTTATGTCGCCCAAACGGATCAGGATATTAATGTTGCCGGGGTCGGGGTCCTGAACTAAGGGGTCTATCGCACGCCAAGGTGAATGCAAGTACGGTAGCTGTTTGTCTACCACCCAGTTATTCGTCAAAATGATTTGCCTGCAGCATTCATAATTCTTTACATTGTCTACTTAAAGGCATACAGAACAGATAGCATTCCCATCAAAGACAAGGGAGACTGAAATTACCATTTTTGGCTTTTGGGCCATGGCCAGCCAGTCATATCCAACCTCAAGTGCTAGACCACCGAGGCCCGAAGTCACGTCCACTTTGATAAGCAGTTTAACGCTCTAACCACTGAGCCACAAGCTCATTGTGTTGACGGTTTAGGTCGGGAGATATCTACACGTCTTGATGAACGGACGAGTAAGTTCCGTTAGCGATCAGTGAACGTTCATCAACGGGGGGCAGACAGCGGGAGGAAGGGCCGAACCATCCATCAGGCATTTAGCGTCAACACCTCTGACTGCCGTATGGGCATGATGACCAATTCAGTGAATACAGACCACGCCCTAGCAACGGGCACTGGTCAGGATCGGGGAAGGGGCATTGTTTACATAGAGTTGACGCTATCTGCTGTTCATGTGGCGTGGGCGACCGTTCAAAGGGAAAACACAATGATTCACTACTCGACACAATCTAAGCATGCAGAGCTCCGGAACCACGGGGGGGGGACAACCGTCCATGCTGGCGCACCCAACTCTCACCTCAGCAACCGTTACAGGGTAGAGTATCCCAAGGATGACAATACCGTATGCGCAGCTGAAAATAAGGCCCAGGGAGTCGGCATCGACCAAACTAGTCACGAATCCGAGGGAACACACATGAATAAAATGAAATCAGGCATCCCAAGAAATTTAATTTGAAGAGAAAGTGTTCTTTGAGACAAAAAAGCGGTAACTTTAAATAATAACTTTTCGAGACTGGTTCCCCAGCTCGTCTTCGGACTAGCGAGAATATGCAAACTAAAAATTAACTAGAAACGCTCCACAATACCATCAACCCAGCCATCCCGGGAATTCCATCCATGCTCGAGAAGGGGATTAACAATAAACTCTCGTTTCCATATGTTCTTGTATTGCGCAAAACTGACGGAACATTCCAAACGTCCGTTTACCGCAAAGACACATATACAGAAATTATTCTCCACTTTGAAAGCAACAACCCCATCTCTCACAAAAGGAGTGCCGTCAACAATCTGCTACGTCGAGCTAACACACTCCGCTCTGACGATTAAACCTATCGACCCAAGCTAAATCATCTGTTTAATTCGTTTTCCCAGAATGGTTACCCCAGGGATTTCCTACACCGATGCATGAGACAACAACAACCTAGAGAAAAGGGACTAGATAGTTGCACTCAGGCACCAAAAAACAAATACATGGCAACTTCTTCCTTATATAAGGAATGTATCTGAATTCGTTGAAAGGCATTTGAGGAAATACAAAATAAAAGTGGCACACAAACTAACGACTACTTTACGTGCCCAGCTTGTACACCCTAAGGATATGGTTGCCTATTTCGATAAGAAAGAAAGCGTTCACAAGATCCCATGCAAAGCTTGTGATACCCTACACTGTGACCACACAGGAAGGTTCATCTCCACATGCATTCACGAGCACTAAATGGCAGTGAGAGAAATTGACAACTTATCCGAAATGGCTATGCATAGACTTGATACAGGGCACAGCTTCGCATGGGAAAGACACGCATCAACGGAGTTTGTCCATCCAAAAAGGCCGAGAATTTCGTGAAGCCATGCACTCCGGCGAGGAGGGCCGCACAACATGGACTGACAGAAACTCCAGCTACCAATCAGCTCCCATTCCAGATAATTTGACTTTTGTTCTTTTGCACATTCCCGTTAGTCCGTAGACGACCTGGGGAACAAGTCTCGAAAATTTAATGATCACATTTAGCTTTTTTTCCCAAAGAACACCCTGTTTACAACTTATAGAATGAATTTGATAGAGGGTACACCAATCTTTCTAAATGGACAGTTGGTACTGCCGTTTGAAACGCCATTCGGTTATCCTACTCCTCCTTTTCCGAGTTCTCTCTCTGGTTGAGGGATTTTTGTGCGGGGTTTTCAATTATTGACGATGTTTAAACTTTCAGTGGTAGTGGTACCGTTAGATAATGCCGTTGAGGATCTATGACAGAATGTTGTGGACATGTGATATCACGAACACAAGTGAAACTTCTCTTCTCGAAGTCCTTGTTGGGCCCTTTTAATCAAACTCAAAAAGACGACCGAACTACAACGATTGCAGACATATTAGGACGCTGGTTATGTTATACTTATCGACTCTGGGGTTCATGTACGTAAATATGGCCAAAGCATTGCAAATAACGTCCTTTATTGTAGGACGAAATCTATTTTTCAGAACCCCACCAAAAAACGCATACTTAAAGTCCTAAAAGCGTCGTCTACCAGACGAATTCTATAGAACATCGTTATGTGACTTGGTAACTTTCCCATCATACCTAATTGGGCGCTGTTATGGCGTTATTCCTACCCTAATAGGTACCGGTAAAAAATCAGAATCTGATTAAAATTATTTCATCTTAGTACGAAAATTTAATCGAAATTAAATAACAACGATCGAACATCAACTATTTCCTTAATACCTCTTGAGATTGCTACGAAGTAGTCCTTATGATTAAAAACACGTGCTCCGAAGTAAATGACGAGAAACTGCGCCTATCGGCGCCTATCCAAAAGAATAAACGAACACCTCCCGCAATGGCTAAGGAAAGGTGAAACCAGTACCACCAGGACCATCAACAGCCGCACATCAGGTGGACACACATCAGAGTGATCTACAAGGTCTCACGAAACTACCCTAAGTCACTGGGTCAGCACCTGCTAGCAACAGCAGAAGCAACTGCTATCCGGTTGATGAAGCCGATTTTGTGCGCGCAAAGGAACCTGCTGCAAGCTCCAAGTTTAGCCTGGCCAACGGCCACCTAGCTACTGGCATTTTTCCGAGCCTCCTATCTCCCTCTCCCTAACTGCCGCTTAATTAGCCGCTTGTTACTACCCCAACCCCCTGACCTATCCCTTGGACAACTTTTC